TTCGTTTTACAACTGTTGCTATTCGCAGAAGACCAAGTGCACGAGTTTGCAATACTAAGGAGACGCATAAATCTAGTCTGATAACATAGCCCGTATATGAGGTGATAAACCATTATCAGCTAAGGTGGTTTGTACATGTCTTAAGTATCCACATCCGTAGTCTGCTTCACTGTCCAATGATAGACTAAATATATTGGAGAAAAGCCAAGAATGGTTAGACCGAAACCCAATACCAGAAGACAAAATCTTTAACTTTTGGTCTAATTCATGTAGGAAAACATAGCTTGAGTGATGCCAACAGTACAATCAAATACATTGTTGGAAACCAAGTGATATAGCTCGGACTATATCACAGAGATCCAGGCACACCTTTATCTCAATCATAATTTCATACTTCGTTATTTGCTTTACCTCTACTTGTGCATCTTCTAGTTATTTCCACTTCTTCGAATTTTCTCTTCTTCCCCCTTACTCTGATGTGTTAATGCAATATGTAGTGAATTCAGTCGTTATGCGTTAATCTTGCATCTGGCGTCAATATCTGTTTGCTGCTTTGAAAACGTTTTTAAATATATATGCCTTAAAGTCATTTGTGGAAGTAGGGTGGATGAAGGCCTAAAGTTGCAGGATAAAAGCTCAACTAAACTTGTGATATAACAATTACTAGTTAAAGCAACACATTCTACTGAAGAATAAATCATACAACTATCTAATAGCACGTAACCTTGACCTGATAATTATTCATCTTAATTTGTTATGACCTAACAAAAAAATAAATAATTTGACCTTCTAAACTGTCAATTTGTTTGGTAAATAATTTACTGATACTAAGTGATGATATATATATATATATATATATATATATATATATATATATATATATATATATATATATATATCAAAAATTATATTCAACAAACTGTTTAACCTTAAGGAAAATCAATACAAAATTATCAGCACCGAATAAATCTGGTCATCTCTCCTTGAATAGTATGAATGATTACAGGGAAGGTGTATCCATTTACCTATGATGTGAATCTCTGATTTCAACTTTGAACCACACAATTAAGTAGTACAGTTCACAAGTCTATTCATCACTTAACACACTAACGACTGTCGAAAATTGTATTAAACCATTCTACAAACAATAACAACGGTGCTATTAATGATATTAAGTGTAGAATGACTGAGGCAAAAGAACACCACAAACTTCGACTATCTATCTTGCTTACTAGTAAAACGAATAGAAAAGAATATCTGAAATGAAATCTGTAGTTACTGTTGTTTTTTTTCTCGCGAGAAAGGAACATTAGGAGGATATATTAGTCAAAATACAATATGTTCACATCTATCCCCCTTTTTGTGGGTAATCTAAGAGAATAGGTCATTTAAAAGAAAAGAAAAAAGTTGACAGTACCATATTCATTAAGAAAGGTGTGTAGTGGAATAGCAAATATACGAAAAAGTGAAGGTAGATAAACTTTTTTGACATAAAGTGAAGAAAACACAGAGACAACTAAAATTTACAACAAAACGAGTGAAAATATGATTTTGAGACTGTCGAAAACATCACTAGTAAAACACACACACACACACAAGGATACCTAAATGAACAAATATGATGTAAACTGACGAGAAAAAGATATTGGAAGTGAGAAGCAACTTTTGGAAACGTGTGTACCAATAGTTGCACACACACACACACACAGTCATAAATTTGTTGAATTCATGTTACTTTTTAAGCATCCAGGCCAAAATTTTCACCAGCCAATGTGACACTTCAGCAGATTTTATACTGTGCTAAAATTTTAATTTTGTTCTCTAATATATTTCAACTGTAAAAATTTAACTGATGAGACATTTCGTCATGATTGAGGTATTAATAATTTATCACTGTTACTATCAATTAAGTTAATTAATCAATTAGATTGGATGGCGAAAAAAGTTAGTTTTGATATAACTTGTTTGTATACTAATATACCGTTCACATAACTCTGGAGGCAGTTAAAAATGAGTTCAATTGTGACTGCGAGTTTGCATATAGATCTAATGGTACCAGTAAAGATCATCTTAAGAGTATAACTATGCCTGAATTCTACAGTCTGTAAGTTTCAGTGAATGGAGAAACAAGCAGAAGGACTTGCCATGGCACAGTCAATATCCCCTGTTGTGACATATATTTATAGATAGTTGGGAACGAGTGGTCCTTGAAACACTTAGTCGTGGTTTTGATATGCAGATGACACGTTTACCGTGTTGAAATGGAGCATAAAAATAGTTTCTTTACATGTATTAATTCAGTAGTCAACGCAATCCAATTTAACTATGAATTAGAGAGTGGTAAAAGGGATTTAGCGATGTTGAAATACAGAATAAAACGAAAACAAGATGACAACTTAGACACTAGTGTCTAGGGGAAGCCTTCACACTTGAATCATTACTTAGACTTCAAACTATCTCACCCCACGTCAGTTAAAGTTGCCTTCATAAAATGTCTAAGCACTAGGTCAAGTTGATCATTATACTGAAACAAAGTGGTCGATCTATGCTGGCATATGGGCTCTTATGTGGACGCCTTAATATTGTCTGAGGAGTCATTATTATATAACTTAATCCCAGCCAGAAGTGGAATCCTAGACGTGCTGTCGTTCAAAGACATGGGCGCTGGGTCAGAATCTCAATGGGGACAACGCAACCCACTGGAATATATGTACATTCAGTTGATGGTTCCAAAACAGAAAGAAACACACGCCCTTGATTCCAGTACGAACCATCATCGAGCATGTTAACATTGCAAATCTATTTTATTTCATAAATCACTCAACGCTTACTTGCATTAATAATCTCAGGATAAGTTTACAAGATTTAACATTCTGCATATGAATACTTCAAAACGAATTATTTCCTAATTATCGACTCTTTTTAAATGTATTGAGTGTATTTTTCTGTACTAGGTTGTAAGTCAAATCCATTCGCTGAAACTTAGTGGTACCACTTAACTAGTTGATATGAAATGGATGAAAAGGGATTCCGAACCCTAAACTCACTTATTAGAAGTCAAACACCCAAAAATATCATCATAGTTCTACTATGAAGCATTGTAAACTGAGTGTTATTTAACCTTTCCAAGAATTAAAACCAGAGGAATATGTGCTTCAACAAATAACTTCAGAGTAATAATTGGAGAAAAATAACTATAAATGATAATTTAAGTTGATGCATCTATTAAGTGAGCAGCATATATGTATATGAACAGCTGAAAACATTTTATTTTTGAAGTGTTACATTGTCAAGCATTTCAAGTTATATTTTTGAATGAAATCCAAAAAAAAGATTTTCTCTGATAAAAAAAAATCTGCTTAACACCCGTATATATATGTGATATAAGCAGAAGTATTACCACAACTGAAGATTAGTATTAGTTATCAGTGCAAAACAAGTTGTTTTGTCTTTTCAAGTAATCAATAATCTTTTTTCATTAAGGCACAAAAATTGTCTATCAAAACAAAGTAAATGGTAAAAATACTCAAATCACTGTTACATAAGATAAGTCTCGAGCCAATAAAATTATTTCAACTTGTATTAAGGTACTTATATCGTCACGGAATGTATCATGAGTCGAATAAAATCCAAAGCTTAGAAAGTTAAGCTTTTAAAGTAACAAAGGAGAACAAAAAAGTGTTTATCTTTATTTATTATTTTTCTCTACAAACACCTTACGATACCAGTACTAACATTTTTTAATATATATATATATTCCACTTTTAGTTTTTCGACTGTAAGTTTGGTATGGTCATCAGAAATGAGGTAATAAAGGTTAAACCACCATTATAATAGTCTCCAAACTATTGAATTAGGCAAGGTGTAGCAGATTAAAATATTTAATTATTCATCTTGAACTATAACTGTTCAAAACATGAGTATTCTAGCATAGTATTTGTGTCTTGTTGACAGGTTCCTCATGGTAAAAATTCGATCTACAAGGCAACAACAAAGATAATTTGAATTCGAGGGCTTGTGGGGACTTATTGATTTAAAGTGTGTATCCATCATGGACTGAAATCAGTTGGAAGAACATTGGAAACCTGGGAGCATTGAACAGCTGTTTCGTCCTAGTATAGGACTCCTCAGCACTGTGCAACCATGAGGACAAATACTCAACGATGACATTGGGTGATGGTCGCACTATATCGTGAAGTGACAGAAGTATGAACCATTAAATCCTGACCCAGTGGCTCAACGGTAACATGCCGGCCACGGGACCTGAAGATCCTGGGTTCGATCCCTGGTGGGGTCATGGATGCACATTGCCGAGAAGTCCGATACAAGGACGAAACGGCTATCGAGTCCTCCCAGGTTTCCAATGTTCCTCCAAATGGTGGCAGTCCATGATGAATACCAACTTAAAAAGATAGTTCATAGTGAATATTTTACTGTAAGTTTACTTTGATAACCTGTAGAATTTAAACATTGTAAAAGTAGAAAAGAGCCTGTTAAAGCAACGTGTATGATAAGTTATCAAACACAATACTTGAAGTATTCATAAAATAAGAAAGAAAGATTTATAATGAGGATCAGATGCCAGTATTGACAATAGTAGATCATATACAATAACCTCTACATTATCTTGACCTACAAAATAGCTTATCCATAAATGATAATCACTTTGTGCATGAAGTTCATTGCTTAATTCCCGAAAATTTATAAAGTATGAAAGATAAAATAGAACTCTAATGATCGTGAACACGTTCATGTACTAGGCACTACCATCATACATGTTGATTCTTGTACAGTTGGAATAACTTCTACAGCTAGTTTTAAATAATGATGATTATGACATATATAGAAAAACGTTGAATTCAAATGAACAACCTTTAAGTGACTTTAAAATTAGTTTTTGAAGACATACTGTGGCATAAAATTAAGACTATAAAAATAGACAAATGAATGCTAAAAAGAAAAGCTCCAATATGAGGCAAGATTAAAAAATTTAAACTTACTTGTTCATCTTTGGCTAACTGGTCATGATAATAATTGTTTTGTCTTAAAGATCTCTTGGAGAGGCGATTGTGTTTAAAATGATAAATTCCAGGTAGAATCTAAAATAGAAGGAGAATTATTGATGATAATATTATAATAATAAAAATAATATAACTCAACTTGATACATGTTTATGCATAGGACTGTGAACCACACTTGTTTTTGTGGGCTTATGATGTTACTCGATTGTGACACCAAAGTACTTGGGGTGGCGTTCGAACCCAGTATTCATAGCTTGAAACCTATGGTCTTAAACCAAAAAGTCACATCTTCACAATAGAGTTATGGATACTATCAATATCAAGATTAGTCAGTCAAACGATTACTTTCTCAAACAACTATATTAACAATCAATACGATGTCCCACCCTTCAAATTCAAGCCGATTTAAACTGAAACGAGAAGATATAACTGTGCAGCCAGTGTGATTAGAATAAACGGATAGTTGGACATCATGGATTCGTATGGTAGTCATTCAACAGCTAGGTGATTGATGTTAAAACTTGATCAACAGCTGAGTATTCTTCCTCATTTGGTAAAGCGCAGAGCCGACATATAAAAGGCCGCTGATTCAAATCCTGTTGTGACCCTAAATTTCATTTCACCTTCAATCGTCACCCAGTATTATAAGAGAATCACATAAAAAAGAACTAGCCACACTACAGTGAGTGAAAAAATCCTACAAGACAGTTAACACCAGAACTTGATGACGTCATAAGTTGCTGGTTGTTAAATGGACTATCGCGATTAGTAGCACTCAAAACACACCTGTAATTAACCCATTCGCATAGTAGGTCCAAGTGTTGAAATAATAAGTGCAACAAAATTCGCTCTAATTTCCCTTAGCAGTATAGTCTGGCAAAATCAAACAGGACAAACAAAGTCAACATACAACCTGGCATTACCGCGAAACTGTTTAAGATGCCACACCTCAAATCATTAGATTAAGTGAGAGTGCATCAACATGAAAGATAAACAATAAGGCAGTAAAAAAGTGGTATAAAATCATCAAAGAGAGCTGAGGGGAATGAAAAAGTACTGAAACTCGGTATGAGGATTAAGAAGATGACGTGTATATGTATCTACACCATTTGGATTGGTCACCAGCTTTCAAACACTGGTTTCTGTTGTGATGTGGACCCCAACCGGCTAGTCACCATCTCCTTATACGGCTCAAACAAACATTCAAAGATATCAAGGATAACTAACGTCATGTCTGGCCACCTGCAACCTTTTTCCATTTTAATCCTACTTCAGCCAACCTTGTGCGACAAGGCAAACGGTGACTAGGCATGCGTAACACATGTTGCGACCACCTCCGTAGTTGAAGATTCACAATCTCACCAATCAACTTTCCTCTTCTCCCTACGACTCTACGCCGGAGATTCCAGTTACTAACACCGCGACATCCGGCCTACGCCACGAAGGTAAAAGGGGTGAAACACCTGAAGCCTTCTCAAATCCTCTACCCTTTAATATCCATGTCCTTTTGACAACCTGCTTAAATCTTGGGCTACCAAAACATTTTTCTACGAAAATATATTCCATCAAATTATTCCCTTTCAGTCTCTTTTAATCTTTTAAATGTCGTCTGAACGCATCATCTACTTCCGCACATTTTCAAAATGTTTTCCACCTTCATTTTTTCAAGCTTAGAATAAAACAAAGGAAAACGCTACACCGGTTGGAAATAGATTTGTAAATGCTCAAAAATACAGCACATTACTATGCCTAGACGACTTGTACGAGATTGTGAATTTCTGTGCTGGCTGGCTGGCTAGCTAACTGACCGACTGACTGAATTGCCATCATCAAAATTACACTCAATTTCCGAGACGAGAACAGATGTTAGGGTAACACTAGCTACCCATCTCACATTTATGCCTTCAATACTGTTATTATTAACACTATGCAGACGTAATAATTATTCCTTTTAAAAGGGAAGTGAATTTGTTGAAATACCCCATGGTGGAAATTCCATACTGTATCATACAAAATGTTTGGAATAAAACGGTTATTATTATTATGTTTCACAATTATTTAGAAGACAGCGAACTGTAGAGCAGTACACTCGGCTCTTAGTAGACAATCGGACATTGCGGTGATGCCATAAACGTTGTAAGTTAGCGAAAGCGAGTCAAGCTTTTTGTATTCATCGAGAGATTTCGGTCGTCACCAACCCATTGTGGCTGTTCTAACTTTCTAAATAAGGATAGAGTTTAGGAGAATTAACGACTTCACCTTCTACTATTAGACAAGGTGGCAACACTGACTGACCTAAAGCAATAGTTTGTATTTGGATGGCGAGAAAAGCATCCCAGATATTCTCTAATTAGTATTCAATGCGCCCAGAAGACCTTGTATCTTGTCATCGTTCGACCAATAGCTGCTACCTTGACGTGGTGGTCGGGCTTGCATATCGAAATGCCCCAAGCTGTGTTGGTGGAAAGTTTGTTCTCTTGAGGTCCTACCATACCAGAAAGGTCGGTTTCATAGGGGTAAGACGAAAAGCAGTTACAGTTCTAGTGTAAATTACTACAGCATAATGGAGGTTAAAGGGAGAAGCCGTACTGTAACTAGCTGGATGGCATGTGACAGAAGAAAAGTGTCGTTTTTAGACGACCAGCAGTGTCATACTGTTGCTGCCTTCCCAAAGGGAACACGGGGTTAGAAAAGGTCAGTCACAAAGATAATACATTTCTATCTATCCCAAGACTTCCGGTGCTGATCCTCCCAAGCTGGTGTTCAAACAACAACCACAAAAGGGCATGTGCGACAGACCTCAAGGAGATGCCTCATGCGCTCTGCGGTCACACAAATCTTTTTCTCTGTCATGTACCTTAAGAAGAAATAGCCCTACACCGTGTGGGCGACCGGGAAGTGTCAACTCCCCGCACGCTTCCAGTACTACACAAGTATCCATCAAATATAACCTATCCTCCTCAACTCTGTCTCCTCTTCTGCCTTCATACCCTGATGCTAATATTAAGCCCATTACGTCCTACGCAACCCCTGACTCTGTAACCATTGCCAACCATCAAAGTCATCGAAACTTCGTTCCTAGTCACGTAAGACCCGAACCGCTACCAATTTCATGTAGGAGCTTCCAACATCCAAACTCAATGCCAAATTGGCCACCAGGCATCGCTCGGTAAAACTCTGGAATCTCTAGCGTTCCATGTATGCCGTGTCTCTGAGTCACATAAATAGGGCCCGAGTGCGGTTATTAAATGTACCTCACCTGGCCACTGCAGTGTACGGTCTGCGGTTCAATGATATAATGTTTCGACGCAATACGCTTAACGATAGAACACTGACTTCTCAACGCAAAATTCAGCTGACACCAGAAGAAGAAGACAGTGGGATTGAAAACATGTTAACTTCGACTGACAAGTCTTTATAGCTGAAAATTCAATCGCTAACATACCCTTGGATGACCTTGGCCAGAGAAAACAAAACAGCATACTTAGTGTAAAATGAACCAAACGGCGTATAGTATTCTAAACCTCGGTAAAAATAAATGGCATTCCATGGAGCAAAAATGCGCGAAAATAAGGTCTACATTTTACAACGATGATGCATATATATTGAAAGATGGTTTTTCTTAGAGATTACGCATCCCTAACATCTTTTTCTAAAATGGGTTTGTTACTTGGGATCCAGATGGGACAGAACTGACCGATTTTTGAGGCGATCTGACCAACGTTGGGGTTCTTTGTTTATCGAAAGTTTTATGGTTTCTTGAGCCTATTTCTTTGCGTGGTATCGCTAACGTACCCAGTAGGATTTCTAATGAGACGTCGTTGGATCTCGTTTCTTCGACTGGCTGTGCTCGGTTTCGCAGTTTGTTTTTATGTCGCGTTTAAGTTTCATTTTACACTGTTTCCATTGAGACATCATATAACATGCAGCCACGTCTACCGATAATTACGCCTTCTATCCACTTTTTATGACCCGGTCTGTAGTCTCTGGTGAATACTGTCGTTTCGTTCTCGAAATATTTTTGACATGCTGCTAACCTTATTGGCCGTTTTTTTGGAATCACAGTATCATGAGGTGTACATAACTTGCTTCTGATGAACACTGGTGATTTGGGAGTGACTCACATGCTGCCGTTCGATACATGAGTAGGAAGTTTTGAATTATGTCCAATAATCTACTTTCCCCCATGCTTTCAGTAAAGCCTTATCGAACGTATCGAAGAAACGCTCTGCTTATCCGTTAGACTAAGGATGGTATGGTGGCGATAAAACATATTGCACGGCACGTTGACGACAGAAGTCTTTAAATTGCTTGGAGGTAAAGTGGGAGCCGTTATCCGAGAAGATAGTTTCTGAGAGGCCGTTGCAGCAGAAAATATTGGAGAGGGCTTTTAACGTTCTCGTGGCATTTGGTGGCTTGACAAGTGCAATTTCTAGCCACTTTAAGTAAGAGCCTACCAAAATCAGATAACCTCGCCTAGTTTACTAGTTCACTAGATACTAACCGGTCCTAAGCCCGGATAAAGAAGGAAGGTTGGGCATAGGGCTAGCGACCCTACCCCGGAAAATCAATTCAATCGCTAAAGAAACTTCAAAGCACAGACAAAATATAAAAATAAACTTATTCCTCTCTGGAATCGAGGAGACGAAATGACGCTGGTTGGTGACAGTCTTCGAGAAGCAAACTGGCCGATGTATCTCCTCTTTTTCAGTGAAAGCAAAAGTAAACGTGGGGACATGGAATGTCCGCACAATGTTTGAACATAGCAAGACTGCCTAGATCGCAGAGCTGAGAAGGTATAGCATAGAAGTGCTAGGAATCTGCAAGGAACCTGCAGATGGAATGGAAGTGGACTCTCCAAACTGTCAACTGTAGAGTCAATAATCTACTTCGGTATGGTCACCCAGATGACAACCACGAGCACACTGAGTTTTTGAGTGGCTATCATGATGACCCCAACAGCATCGAAGGCTTTCTCATGCAGTGGAAACCAATCTCCTCCTGCAGGATCATGTAAGCCAAGTTCAATTCAAAAGGAAAGAAAGTCGCAATCACACAATGCTACGCTATGCATCTAT